GAGGTATGAGGATCACCTGAGGTCAGGAGTTCGAGACCAGCCTGGCCAACATGGCGAAACCCCATCTCTACTAAAAATACAAAAATTAGCCGGGTATGGTGGCGGGCGCCTATAATCCCCACTACTCAGGAGGCTGAGGCAGGAGAATCCCTTGAACCGGGGAGGTGGAGGTTGCAGTGAGCCGAGATGGTGCCACTGCACTCCAGCCTGGGCGACAGAGCAACACTCCATCTCAAAAAAAAAAAAAAAAAGAATATACAGAGTTCCCTGGTGAGAGGGAAAGAGGGGAAAGAAGTAGGTCCAGAGATTGTCCCTTTAAAGATGTAATTCACAAATCAAAGAGCACATCTTCTGCCGTGTCACTAGGGATCGGCCCGGATTTCACCGCCTGCGCCCCTCATTCAGACGCCCTTGCCTAACCTGCAAAGGGCCCGCCCCGCCAGAGACCGCCTTACCTCCTTTTGGAGATTGGTGGTCTTGGGCTCTTGGCTCTGGATCGACTTCTCATCCTCTCTCCGCTTTCTCAGGCCAGTATCCCCCATGTTTCCTCCTGCTGGTTCCAGGAGACTGCAAGGAAGGCGCACAGCTGAATCTTGGTTCAGCAGCAGCAAACAAGATGCAAGTGCAAGCTCGGCCTGGACTAGGGGAGCTGGCTCCAAAAGCACAGTGTTGGTTACTGCCACAGGCGGGGGCCGCTGCCAGTCCTGCAGGGCTCATGCGCTGGGCCCCAGAGTCAAAGTCAGTCATTAACACTGTCCAGGCAGGGGAACACAGCTCCCCGCTGTTCTCCAAAGCTCAGCTGCTTGCTTAGCTTTCTCCCAGACAGGCCCCGGGAGCCTTCTGGCCCACGTGCCTGTGCCTTGAAAGTTATTCTACCTCCGTGGTCCAACTTCATTTTTTTTTTCAAAAGTTAAAAGAAATATTTAACAACATCCTGGGCTGGGCACAATGGCTCAGGCCTGTAATCCCAGCACTTTGGGAGGCCAAGGTGGGCGGATCACTTGAGCCCAGGAGTTTGAGACCAGCCTGGTCAACATGGCGAAACTCCGTCTCCACAAAAAAAGAAAAAAAAAAAAAAAAAAATTAGCTGGGCATGGTGGCGGGTGCCTGTAATCCCAGCTACTCAGGAGGCTGAGGCAGGAGAATCACTTGAACCTGGGAGGTGGGGGTTGCAGTAAGCCAAGATCGTGCCACTGCACTCCAGCCTCGGCCACAGAGCGAGACTCCGTTTCAAAAAAATAAAATATAAAAAGTTAAAAAATGAAAATATTGTGAAATGTATTTATCAGAATCAAGTCCAGGTAAGGAGTGTGTGTCTTAGAATTCCTTCCCAAGATTAAAGACACTCCCCTACATCACAGAGCCACAGTACAATACAGGTACTTTTTCTTTGTACTTTTTAAATTTGTACAATATTGTTTTTGTAAAGACGTGAGTCTCGCTATTTTGGCCTCCAACTCCTGGGCTCAGGCAGTCCTTCCACCTTGGCTTCCCAAAGGGCTGGGATTTCAGGGGTGAGCCACCGCACCTGGCCAGGTACTTTTTCATTAAGTGATGAAAGGAATGAAAACATTGCCGAGGAAACCCAGTTCCAGACTGAATTAGGAGGTAACCATGCACCACTGTACCCTCTCTCTAAATAACTTCTCTGTCCAGGCCCCGGCCAGGAGAGCCATGAACCTTTCTATCACCCACGGACCTTACCTTCCTCCGTGACCCTGCGGAGCCGGAAAAGCTGCGGCGCAGCTGACCGCCCGTGCCTGCACGGTCCAACCCTAGGAATGGCCATGTCTTATGCCCAGGAGTGAAGGAAGTCCAGAAGGTACAGAGGTCAATAAAGGTAATTATTAAACACCTTTTTTTTGGTTTTGTTTTAGCCATGAAGCTTAGATACGCCACACAAAAAGGGGAGGGTGAGGCAGACCAATTTCTCTCCAAAACCGTTTTTGTTCATTTGTGTCTAGGTCAGATTATTTTTTTAAAACCAGATAGTCCCAAATCATCTACACTTTTTACCTAAAGATAAAATAAATTATGCCTTCTTTTATCTTTGGGAATCAGAGGAGGTAAACTTTGGAACCAATTCTCTAATTGCTTTAATAGGCTATATTTAAAACCCAAGTCAGGCAGCTCAAACAGGAACTGCTGTGTGCGTGTAACTCAGCTGTTTGTCAGTTTCCTCCCCGCCCAGGAAATTCCCCCAAGCCCCGGGCCTGCCTCTGGCTGAGCAGGTGAGAGCAGTTGAGCCCGTCCCACTCCTCTTTACCAGTGATGGGGCTTCACCACTTGGAGCCACGAGCAGGCCTGAGGCAATGCAGGCCCCCACATCCTCCCTGCAGCTGTGGCCAAATGCCCATCAGATTTGGCTGTGGTGCTGTTCACGTAGCCATGTCCTGGCTCATCAGACACAAGGGACACAAAACCTTCCCCATCGGGGAAACAGAGGCCTATGGGGGGGGACAGGAAACACATGGCCAGGAAGCTCCGGTCCCCATCCAGGGCTGCCAGGGTCTGGATGTCTCCGGGAGGGAGCAGAGGTTCTCCCGCGCTGCGACTGGACCTTGGTTCAGGCGGCAGCCTCAGAGGTCAGCACTAAGCCCTTTCAGATAGGGAAGGAAGCACCTTATGAGACAGGCAGGACAGCCTGGCACAGCATAAGCACTGCGTGTGAAGCATTGTAGCTGTTATCTTCAGCCAAAACTCTGGTAGCTTTGCCTCGAGGCAAACCTAACTGCATCCCAGATATTGGATGGAAGCAAAGGTCAGGGGTGGAAGGAGCTGGGCGAGTCTCTGGGGGACAGTTTGGGGCAAGCAGACCTGAGAGAGGCAAAGGTTTCTCTCAAAGCCGTCTGCAGAGCACAGGGACCTGATTTAGAAGTTCATCAGCTCCAGGCCGGGCGCGGTGGCTCACTCCTGTAATCCCAGCACTTTGGGAGGCCGAGGCGGGTGGATCACCTGAGGTCGGGAGTTCAAGACCAGCCTGACCAACATGGAGAAACCCCGTCTCTACTAAAAATACAAAAAATTAGCCAGGCATGGTAGCACATGCCTGTAATCCCAGCTACTCAGGAGGCTGAGGCAGGAGAATCGCTTGAACCCAGGAGGCGGAGGTTGCAGTGAGCCGAGATCGTGCCATTGCACTCCAGCCTGGGCAAAAAGAGCGAAACTCCATCTCAAAAAAAAAAAAGTAGTTCATTACCTCCCATCTTGGGAGGGCACAGCCTGTTTACCTGCCTGCCATGCCCAGAGCCCTGAGCAGAGAGGTTGGAGAGTAGAAGCCAGGGGCTGGCGGCAGGTCCTGCCACCCCAGACAGAACCTGCCCACAGGCTTGCTGGGATCACTCCTCCTAATGCTGCAGCCTCATCATAGCACCTGGCACATCCATGTTTGCAAAACACCACAGAATACTCCCTGGGGAAAAGTGCTCCTGGCGGGCTGACAGGAGACCACATGAGGAGGGCAGGGTGGGGCAGTGGTCCCCTGCTGGGGCCAGACACCAGACAGCCCTGCAACCTCACCCACTACCCACATGGGCTCAGGCAGCACTGCCAGGATCAGGATCTGAATCTGCAAAGCGGGGCTAGCAACAGGCGCCTCCTCGTGGAACACATTGAACTTGCGTGTTCCATGAATGTCCAGGACCAGCCCACTGGTCTTCCTGGGCCTCTGCCAAGGCCGAGTTTGGAACGTCGGGGTGTGAGGGTCCTTTGTTAAGTCAGAAACCTCCACGTCAGTTCATTTTGGGTCCACGGTGAGCATTTCTTAAGCCTGTTTCTTAAAGTTGTGTTTTTCACCCCAGTCCCACCCTCTCCCTCCCTTGAATACACAGAAAGTATTCAAGTAATTCTCATAAGCTCTTCCTCATGGAAAATAATACAGATTTGATTTAAAAAGCAAAATTTTCCTCAGTTCTTGAAGACTGTTGGTTCATTGTGTATCCAGTGCTTCTGCCATGTGGCTAAAGTTTCACCTCCCTGCTGTCAATTTTTTTTTTTTTTTTTAGTTGGAGTCTCACTCTGTCGCCCAGGCTGGAGTGCAGTGGCTTAATCTTGGCTCACTGCAACCTCGCCTCCTGGGTTCAAGCGATTCTCCTATCTCAGCCTCCTGAGTAGCTGGGATTACAGGCATCCACCACCATGCCTGGCTAATTTTTGTATTTTTAGTAGAGATGGGGTTTCACAATGTTGGCCAAGTTGGTCTTAAACTCCCGACCTCAAGTGATCCGCCTGCCTCGGCCTCCCAAAGTGCAAATCCTACTGTCATTTTTTACCATTTTATTTATTTATTCTGTGAGACTGAGTCTTGCTCTGTCACCCAGGCTGGAGTGCAGTGTCATGATCTCAGCTCACTGCAACCTCCACCTGCCAGGTTCAAGCGATTCTCCTCCCTCAGCCTCCCGAGTAGTTGGGACTACATGTGTGACACCACGCCTGGCTAAGTTTTGTATTTTTAGTAGAGACAGGGTTTCACCATGTTGGCCAGGCTGGTCTTGAACCCCTGACCTCAAGTTATCCACCCGCTTCAGCCTCCCAAAGTGCTGGGATTATAGGCGTGAGCCACCACGCCTGGCTCACCACTCTATTTCTTAAGTTTCTGCTAAAGACTCTTGACCTTCACTTTCAACCCGTGCTTTTCCCTTCTGATTGCAAAAATGCTTGCAGGTTGAAGATCTTCACACCATCTGCATTTTGTCTTATATTTGGTGCATATTTGGTTTCAGTTGGGGAGGGTAAAATGCTTCCCTCCACCCTTCTGGGTTCTTTGGTTGGGCTTCAAATGGAGACCAATGGGAGGAAAACGGTTTTAATTATGTGTATATGCAACAGAGTCCCACAAAACAAGAGACTTGAAGAAGGGCCAGATGACTAAACCCTATAGAGCATCCTGAGCTATATAAGGATTAGGGGCTTGGGGCTTCTGGGGCAGGTAGGGACGAGTAATGGAATGGTGAGGGGAGGAAATGCATGGCAAATAAAGGTCGTCTGGTTATGCAGATGTAAGTCTCTCAGGTAATAAAAGTTGTCTCCTCCTGGTACAGATACTTGTTCTAATGTAGATTTCCTTCATGACATAAATTTATTTTGCAAAGGGCAGCTTTTCAGAGATACACCTGTTGTGTTTGCAGTTTCTCAGCATAACCAGCTCAACATATTCCAAAGAAGTATAATTTGGGGTGATATATATCTGGTCTCCTACAGTCGTATTTTGGGGGTGCTGTGTCCTGCACCCCAGTATTTCCTTCTCCTGTGATGGTCTGTGTTTGAGACAGGGTCTCTTGTTCCCAGGCTG